ATTCTATAACTTTGTATAAAGATCTTCAGCAACTAGCTGCAGTTCTACAAGGTTTGGGTTAGTTGCAATTTTGTTATTGATTTTTTGCAGTTTTTTTTGTAGTCTTTGCATTGTTTTTTCAGCAGAGATTTTTGGTTTTTGTGCTCTTATGATAGCTTGAACTATATGTTTTAATAAGTCCTATTCTTCTATATTTTGGTGTTTAGATAGTATATTATTGATGATTGTATTAGTCTCAGGTTGTCTACTAGTTTTTCTGTTGAATCTCCAGAGACAAGGTCTGCTTTCTGATAGTTTGAATGATAACTCACATTCAACCAATAGATGATCAGAATTTCCAAAGTGAGTTTTTGTAGTTTTGCATATGTGGTTATGATCACTATCAATAAAAATATAATCAAGCCTTGTTGTCATTATGTTTCCACCTCTTGTGTATTGATAAAAGGTTTTTCCTCTGAAAAGATAGCTGTGTTTATAAAATCTATTAATTTTGACTTGACCAGTACTCTTAATGGGTCATATTGTGAAGTTGCTTGACTTATGTAGTTAACCTCTGGGTCTAGATTAGTGTTGAAGTCCCCTGTTAGGATATTTATATACTCTTCTTTGTATATTAGTGACCAATTTGTGAAGAATGTGGTTCTATTGTTTATGCTTGGAGGAGTATAGATATTTGTTATCCAGAAGGCTTGATTTCTAATTTCTGTCTGTGTTAAGGTTACTCAACTTTCATGTGAGCTTTTACAATTTTTTAATTTAATATTTTTTCTCTCTGCTAAAATAGCTATTCTTTTAGACCAGAATGAGTCATAGCTCCATTGTTGCGCTAGGAAATCTCTAGTTGATTTTTCTTTAAGATTTGTTTCTTGTATTAAAATTAAGTCTAAGTAATAGAATTTTAAGAGTGTTAATGTATTTTGGGCTTTAGATCTATTGTTTAGACCTTTTATATTTAGTGTAGTGATTTTGATCATGTTTGTTGATATAGATAGTTTGTTGGCTACACTTGTTTAATCTCAGTAAGTTAGATTTAGTTTTTAGAGAGGCTCTGAATAGAGCTTTTCTCTGGTCATTCTGAAGAAGAGCTACTATCTTTTGGGCTATTTTTCTTCTTGCATTTCTTGGAGATTACAATATTAAAGGTAATCTCTTCCATGTTGTTATCTTTTTCTGAGTCTGAGTTCTCAATGGTTTTTGTTAGATGAGGTTTGTCAGCTTCTTTTGTTACATTTTCTGAGGCAATTTCTGTAGTAGTTTTTGCTAGATTATCTTCATTTGAAGAGTCTATATCTTGACTACTAGTTTCTGAGATTTCAGCAGGAGATGTTTCTGTGGGTTCAGAAGATATTTGCATATCATTAATATAAGGATTTTCTGAGCTGAAGTTTTCTTGATAATTATTCTCTTTAGCTGTTCTTTGCTTCTCTCTCAAGAGTCTGAGATCTTTCTGTTTTTTTCTGAATTCAATTGAAGCTTTTAGTTCTTTACATTCCTTTTTAATGTAGCCTTATTTTTCACAGTAAAAACAGACTTTTGGTGCATCTCTCTATTCTGTTATAACTTTGTGATAGTCTATATGAGTAGTTCTAGGTATTCTTTGAGTTAAATTAGGGTCATCTGTTGTTTCAAAGGTAACTAACCATTGGTCTGATAATATAGTAGTACCTTTGAAGAAGAGGAGTTTAATTGAAACAATTGTTCCAAAGTCTTAGAATGCTTCTAAGATGAGATTATTGATATGTTTAGGGTTATCTAGTGGAGTATTTTTGAGTTTTATTATAAGAAAGATTCATCTTAGATTAATTGGTAAGAAGCCAAAGAGAGTTTGTTTAAAAAGACAGATTCCTTCTGTAATATAAGTTTGTAAGCTAGCTTTGTTTTGAAAAATTACTTTTAGAAAAAAATGTTTGCCTTTAGAAAAATGAAACTTTGCTGCTATTAGATCTTCTCCTAGTTTTGCAGCAAGAGCTGCTACAATGTCATTTGATGCAATATTGCTTATGTTTTGTATATCCAGTATGAGTGTGTTATCATTCTTTATGTGAATCTTTGGTTTTGGGAGGGAGCTAGTGAAGGTAGTTTTTCCACCCTTGAATTTTGGAAATAATTCAGACTATTTTTTTGTTTGTAGCTTGTCTTGCGATTTTTCTTGTATAGGGTTTGCTATTAAGCTAGAAGTTAATTGGTTCACAGATTGATTTGTAGTACTTAATTGATCTTCTGTATTCATGTGATTATACATATTTGTTTTGTTTTTGCATTTTTTGAACATGATTCTTTGTTTTCTTTATTCTCTAGTGAGAATGATTCTTTGGCTTCTTTTTCTGCTTTAATGTTGTCCTCAACTTCTTTAGCTCAGTTTATTTCTTTAGCTTTTGCTAGTTCAATTTCTAGTTTTTTTGAGCTTCTTGTGAATATTCTATTGTTTGAAGATACATTTTTTTCTTCTTTTTCCTCTTCTGTCAAAAGGTCAAAGATTTTGTTGCTGGTCTTGTCATTCCTAGTTTTTGTTCTTTTGTTACTTAAGTTACTCATGACTAAACCTGAGAGCTTTTTTTTTTTTTTTGATATGAGAGCCTTAGCTCTTTCTAATATGTTTTGAGGTAGAAGTTTATCATTTGATATCTTAATTTTGTTTTTTCAGAGTTTTACTGGTAGTGAACTGGAAAGAGTTTTACATCTCTGTTTTTAAATTTGTATTTCATTTCACTTCTATTCATCTTTGCAATTTTTTTTTCTATATATATATTTACATAAAATATTCAATAAAGGAGATCTACGTACACTCTCTCCAGACTACATTAGTTTGGAAGTAGAGTAAAACCAAAAACACGATAACAATCTCTGACACTAAGATAAACAAACTCAAAAAAGGTATCAAGACAAGGGCACTTGCCCTTGTTGCAAGAAAAAGATCTTTCCAAGAGTTTAACGAAACTGAAATTCTTAAAAAAATGTCTAAAAACAAAAAAAAAGCTATGGACGGTAGCAAAGAAAATAACAACAAAGAACTTATCCTAGAAGAAAACAACAACTCAAGTTCATCAAAACAACTTAATACAAGTAGCTCTAACTAGGATGAACAAGTAAACCAGGAAGTAGGTGAACTAAAGGAAATAACTAATACTTATACTAATAGAAAAGAAGAAACGAAAAACATGTCAAAAGAAAAAAATCCCTACTTAGACGATGATAACAACAACACAACAACACGTACAAATCAAGATAATAATTTGACACGTAAACTTGAAACAAGCGAACAACACAAGCTAGGTCTAAATGAAAGTT